GCCGTTGTATTGGATCTTGTTATTATTTATAAGCAAAATGACTCCATATTTTCTATCTTACAACCCCTTAGACCGTTTTGAACGTAAATTTTTTATCCAAACAAACATTAAAATGACACCCTATTCAAACTCCATCTCTCTTTCTTCACTTCTCGGTGAGTTTACCAGCCAAAGGGTTTAGCTTGATCTCGAACACGAGCATACCTTCTTATGTGTGTGAGAGAGATGGAGTTTAGTAGAGAGAGAGAGATGGAGTTTGGGTTTTAGATAGAGATAGAGTTTTAGAGAGAGAGAGATGGAGTTTGAGTTTTAGGGAGAGATATGGAGTTTTGAGAGAAAGAGAGACGATGATGTGAGAGAGAGATGGAGTTTGGGTTTTAAAGAGAGATGGAGTTTTGAGAGATAGCGACAATGATGAGAGAGAGTGATGGAGTTTTAGAGAGAGAGAGAGAGACAGAGTCATTTCATAAGTTGTTGAGGTCAATTATATATGATCAAAAGGGTTTAAGGGGTTGGAAGATAGAAAAGTGCGAATCTATTTGTTTACAATATTTTCAATTCTTGGATTTGATGAGATATAGAAGTTAAAAATAGGAGATAATATGATATTTTCCTTATTTTTTATTTTTTATTTCAATTAGATATAGCCTCAAAAACTAAAAATACACAAATTGCCCTTATTTGGTATTTGGAATGTAGAATAGTCACGGGCACTTTTGTAATTTGACCCCAAGAGGTTTCAGTTGAAAGATAAAAATACCCCTAGTTGTTCCACATTATAGATAATTATTCAGTATTTGTAATGCAGAATAATTAAGAATGTTTGTCATTTGGCACTTGAATACTTTGTATGCATAATATTACAAAATTGCCCCTAGTTCTGAATTACTACTATTGAAAAGTGTTACTTATTTGTAATGCGGAACAATTAGGTTCATTTTTGTCATTTAGGTGAGATTTTTTGGGGGTCAAATTATTGAAATTCCCCTCCTTGTACTTCAATCCAAATACTAGATAATGGCAATTTGGCTCTTTTAAAAAAAAAAAGAATTTGAGGTGTCTAGGTGAAATGAATAGTAAAAGTATGTCATCAAATGTTAATGGGATAATTTGACTTTTTAATAAATTTTTAAGGGATTTATTTTTCTTATCATTTTAGATCATGCAATATGTGCTTTAAATTCAATATGACACTCTCTACCACCTAAAGCGTTATAAAATCTAGCCAAAAAAGAAACGAAATCTATACTTTTTTTTTTTTTTTATGAAAGCCCATAGTTTTTATAAAATTAAAACCGACACTTCCGACTTTATATATTTCAAACAAGGCCATGAATGAAAGATATTTTATTGCATATTTGTCAGAAGGCTCCAATGGGGAAAATTTTGACCCAAATTTCACGAATTTTAGTTAAGAAAATCGGAAGAAATGAAAGAAATGGTGGATTCGAAGGTTGAGCTAAAAAAATGACTATTTTTTTTTTTAATATCTAATTCGTGCAAAAAATATGCTTTAATCCAAAATTTGTTTTGGGCTCTATAGATAAGTGAGATGAGTGATTTTGGAACAAATTTGAGAGTATTTGGTGAAGAAACGAGAGAAATGCACTGTTGATAACCGAACCAGTGGTGGGCTCCATTCGAACTCGGTTCTAAGATGGATTTTTCGAGATTCAATGGTGATGATCCAACAAGTTGGATATATCGAGCATATCAATTATTTGCTTGTAATTAAACTAAGGAGTTCCAAAAGGTCTCTCTAACATCCTGTCATCTAGAGAGAAGCTAGCCTGTGGTAGTTCTCTGGGTAATCCAGGTGAAACTGGTGTAGGGGGAGTGATTAGAGATTGAAACGGGGAGGTGATGTTGTTCTTTGCTGGGCCGCTACGGCGGAACTTGAGACTTTTAAGTCCCAAGGTTTGGGATGTTTTTGTGTGATCATATGAATGTAATGTGATTAAGTGGGGCATAAGAAGCAATGAGTACTTTGGGAAGTAAGAAATACTTGAAGTGAGATTCTTGATTTGACAGCCCATATGGTATGGTCATCTCCTTTTTCTCATTTTTATAGAGTATGTAGAGGCTGATGCTTTGACAGATTCATTAGCAAATAGGGGAGTGACCTTACCCTCCGTTTTAGTAGAGTATGTAGAGGCTGATGCTTTGACAGATTCATTAGCAATTAGGGGAGTGACCTTACCCTCCGTTTTAGTGTCGAATGATGTAAGCTTACTGTAATTTTTTCTTATTTTTCTTTATCAATAAAGATTACAACATTTGTCAAAACAAAGAGTGGAATGAATCTGGTCTGAGTTTGTAGAAGCCGTATGCACGAGATTCGGTCCAAACAAGTATGAAGATTTTGCAGGAGCATTAACCAAACTTACACCGAGAGAATATCAGACCTAAGTTGAGCAGTGTGGGGGTTTCTGAGCCATAGTTAGCACGTCAGGGAATAATAAAATATCGGTAATAAATCAATTTTATTTTTAAAGGAGGAAAAAAAAATATTGTAAGTTATAGATACGTGAATAATTCGGATTTAGTTAAAAAAAGTGAAGTGAAAATATCGAATATGTAAAGATGACACAATATAAAATTATGATTTGCATCTATTTTATAGATATATTACAGGCCTTAAACAAAAAATTTATAGCCTTACTAGTATCATTAAAGTAGTACTTGACATTTTTTTTTTGAAACTTTCAATAATTCTAAAAACAATGGTAACTCTGTTGTCACAATACATAACATATATCCTAGATTTATTAGGAGAATAAAATAAAACAACAAATATTAAACACAAGAAATAATTAGCAAATAACACTAATTGTGAGCTAAGGTATAGGATTACCTTTCAAAGAAAAAAAAAATACCCCCAATATACGATTGCAGTTAATTAAAAGAAAACTCAAAGATCCAAATATGTAAAATAGTAGTCCATCCAAAATGCTATGTTGTATACACCAATGATATAAAATATAAAATTAATAAAAAAATTTCTTACATAAAAAATATAACAAAATGCTTAAACAAATTCAAATATCACACTAAATTCCTAACTACCTAAATATTTAGTATTATTGAATATATTTCTTGCTCTTCGTAAGGATACTATGGGTTGAAAAAAGAAAAAAAATGTTTTTCATTGGGTTACTCTTCCTCTAATTCTACCTATTATTTTGAAGTATACAATTTTTTTGATTACTTTTATTAGGGAAGATATTGCTTGTATTTTTTGTACACTTTTTTTAAGATAACTCATTGTCGAATTTTTTTGATAAAATTTATTTTTGAATAAATATTTTTAATTTTCTCCCACTATTAATGCACTTATCTTAAAACCAAAATTCAATAATAAGATGTTAATGAAGAAATACTTATAGGGAATAAGTTTTTTATTTTTATTTTTAAAAAGATAAAATACAGATTTATATCGGTTCCATTAAAAAAAGGTGATTTTTTGAAGATCTTTTAAAAAAATCGATGTTCCAAATGGACTTCAAAAAATCTCGATTTTTTGAAGAAGTTAAGTTTTAAATGGAGACTTGCTAACCATGTTCAGAGCCTGTGTCTCGTAGTTACTTTGTAAGAAGGTTGAAGTCGAGATTATTAAACCAGGGAAGAATCAATCTTTGTGTTTTACTCACCATTTTTTAAACTGATGTCCTTCCTTTCTGTCTCTATGATTTTTCCGTCCTATTTTTATACCTTTTTTTTTTTTTAGGGTTCGTTCTATTTCTGTAGTTTCTTCTCTCTTCGCCTATTTTCTTATTCTTGCTCCCCCTCACTCTTCCTTTCTTCTTATTGTACATCTTGGAAGGGAAATTGTCATCACAGCTTTTCATAGTGCAACATCCCATTCCATCCTGGGTTCAAACCTACCTAATACAAATTTGAAATTGCCCTACCTATTCTCACTATTATGGAAGCTCTGTGAAAGGTCCAAAAAACAGTTAATTTTTTTTTAATTTATTATTTTAAATTTATTCTGGTTGGAATGCATTGCTCCACCACTGAAGTTTGTCAAATGATTGACATGCTTTGAATGGATCGGTTACACACCCTTGCCGCGCCGCATTGCCATCAGACCAGGTAGAGAGAGATGTTAAAGCAAGAAAACTTAGTGCACATATTAAATACTATCCCATTAGTAATCACCACCTTCCTGATGGAAGGCGAGCGTAGTTTTCATTGAACAGAAATCAGATTTTGTGTAAGCAAATCTCCAAACGACTGGCATGACTTGCATTTACTCATCCATCACTCCAAAGTCTCTGCAACAGCATATTCCCTTGAAATTTCATCAAATACTTCCTCAACCATTTTATACATAAATCATGGCAAGTTTTCACCAGTTTTCTCTGTCAAATCAGAAGTTCATGAATTCCATTGAATGCAAATAGGGGTTTTGTTTTCGTGAAAAGAAATGTTCCAGGCTTCAGTCCACACAGGAGACTTCACAAGCCTGCTTATTGTCCCACAAAACGCACATGAATGCTCCTACTCACCATAGAAAGTCTCCGCTTGCTAAAGAATATGCAACAGAAAAAATATGGCTACCTATATGGAGGACGCATCTCCTCAGATCACTAACATGAGTTATTTCTATGTTACTACTACATGAAAATATATAACACAGAGTACAATGAACTGGAGTAGAATTCCTTCCTCGACATGAGCTATCCCACCTTGTTCAGAAGATCAAAAACTAACCTAGACGGCAATAGTCATCCAACTTTGGAGCCCGAAAGATATGTTCGTGCCAGGGCAAAGCACTTCTCCTTCTGGTTTTTATGTTCATTATATCGCAGGAAGAAGTACTCAAGATAATCAAAGTCGATCGGAGACATTTTTGCCTGGAGTCATGAAAAGTGAGCAAAAATGAACCAGCTTCCACCTAAATGTATATACTATTATTATTGATATTGTTGGTTAAGAAAGGTGGCTGAACCCAGGTGCAAAGGTTGGGTTTCTTCAACTTGGGAACATGGCTCACCAGCAGGTGCTAAAAACTACAAAATGTACATAGAAGTGGATGACATATCAAAAAGGTGAAAGTTTGCCTGAATTAGTGCCCAAAGGGCCCAATATATGTGTGATGCTAGCATAAAGCAATTTGTCTCGACATAAAGTGCTTCAAGATCTTCATCAGACACCTGCAGATCATTGAACATGTATGTGATTTCATCTCAATTTACTACCAAAAGAACTTATTTCACATAATTAGTATTTCTAGCCCATCTGGGCTTTGACTTTCAAAAGAAAAAAATTTAAGTGTATCAACCAGAGTTGACAAATTGGTGCAGGCCAGCTGTGTGTGTGTGTGTGTGTGTGTGAGAGAGAGAGAGAGAGAGAGAGAGAGAGAGGGCCAGCCTTAGCCTCTGTCAAACAGAAAATATGTTGCAATGTTGCAAGAAGCCCCTGATTTATATGGAGCCTTACATCCTTGCATAACAAGGGATGTTTGGACATCAACATATGTCAAAAAGTAGGCCAAAATACCATGCATTGTGGCAAGCTGCCACGACACAAGTTTTGGCTGCTATGAAACACAGATCATAGCCAGTTCTGATCTAGCAAGACTGAAGGTTGCCGGCATGTAGAGGTCTTCTCTTCAATTGATGAGGGCATTTTTGTTCCAAGTCAAGTTTTACTGCCTTAATACATTATCTAGTAATTTACTTGAATTCCTTTTCTTCCAGTTCATCTGGAATTATGGTTCTCTAGAAAAACTCTATATTTATTATTTCAAATGCCCCCACAAATCTCCACTCAACATGACATAAACCATTGAGTCTAATTTTGGTAAAAATTTGTATTCTATGATATGAAGTGATTCTCGCAAAGATTGGCAATTTGGCACACACCAAAATTTCAATGATAATGACACACCAGATCATTGTATATAAGATGTATATGCAACCTATGGTAGCTTATGTGAATAAGATCTTAAAAAACTCATAGCTATTGTAACTTTTAACATGTTAGATTTTATTCCTCATTTTTGTTTTTGAATTTTAAAAGTTGTCTATTTTTTAATTTTTGATATTTGGTCATACTAACATAGAATTAGAAAATTCACATTATTTCCCAATCAAGCCTTTGCATAACCTGATTAGTTGAAGTGACCAAAGCTCAAGTCAATCCATAATTGAGTATCCAGTCCATAAACTATAGTATCAAAAACCATCCTTTAAGCCCTGGCTCACCAAGTAAGTGAACTGCAATTACATATGCAATCTATATAACTTGTTGCAGCATTGACACTAATTCAATATCCAGAATCATGCAACATGCAAAAGTTTAAATCTATGTACGTACCCTGTTTGGATGTACTCATTATCACTAATAATTTATTGAATGTACTCATTATTCCCTGTTTGCTGTTTGGCAGTGGCCATCATAGAGTTATCTGAGATAAACTTTGTAGGCAGTTTTCACATAATTTTATCTTTTAGAAAAGCTGTTTTTATTTAAATAAATAATTTGCTAAAATAGCATTTTTTAGTCAGAAATAGCAAAAAATAGCTGAACATAACAAAAATGTTAAATACTTAATTAAATAATTAAATAATATTATACAGAATAAAAGATACATACCAAACAACAATACAATTTTAGATAAGATACTATATTCCAGATAACGGAAATTGTAATCCAAACAGGACAAAACAATATAGGCAAATATGAAGAGTTATATATATTTGCCAAATTCCAAGGAGGTCCCTTCCATCAAGTTAGCAAGGATATAGAGCCACGTTGTATCAACAACTGAAAGACCAATTATATTCGGCATAACTAATATAAACATTTAACAAAGAGCACTCAATGAGAAAAGGAAGAGTATACAATAAGACCATTTACCGGTGATACAAAAAGGTTAATCACTGGGGGTGTACATTGACCATATTGAAAGAAACAAAGAACACTCAATGAGAAAAGTCAGCAAATGTTTCTCTAAAATTGTACAGAGAATTGACACACCCCAGCCATCTGCTTTTACATCTGACAGCATGAGGTGCTTGTGACATACGTCTATGAAGGTAACGGTCTCACTGTATGCAATCCCAGAGAAAAAAAGAAAGTTCATTCGTACCAAAAAAAAAATGATACCCCCATACTTTTTGCAACCATAGTAATGCTCCGCTTTATACTAATTTTATATGTAGATATCATAGATTAGCTTTTAATCTAGCCAGTTTTATGTATCACAGTATGAAAAAAATATGGAAAATGAATCCATCAACCTTACATACCTCCTCTGGTTTTTCAGGATTTAAGTAATGCCTAAAGAAATGGCATTGTGTCTCCTTATCCGGACACCTACAAGTAAAAATGGCATAGAAAATCAAGATTATCATTTTGAAAGTGCAAGATCCCTTCGCAAGGAAACAGCTGAATCAAACTCCAGAGCATAAAGACAACATACAGACTGTAGTCGCAGTCAAAGCCTGCATATTCATTGAAGTGGTTTGCAATGTCATATCCTCGGTAGCTGTATGATCCATACTCAAAATCAATGAGGTAAAGTTTCCCTGGGAGAAAATTGTAGTCAGATTATATCTCTTTTTTTGCCCGTTGTTTTTTTTTTTAGTTGAAGTACAGTTAGCATGTACAAGGAGAAAACGTAAAAAAAGGATCACGGGCATCATGAAACTAACAATCAAGGTAAAGAATTCAGCCAATAGCCAAGAAAATGGGATGCATATCTCTAACTTAGGGAAGAGAAAAGCACATATTTTGGAAGTTTGTTATAGCCTACCTATGATCAATTCTTATGCCAAGTAGAAAGTTAACTTTGTCTTACAATAAGCTACACACATAGAGCTACAATTTTCTAAAAATCAACCAAGCTACAGACATGCAACTTTTACCTCATCAGTGCACCATGAGAGATAAGAAATTAAGATCCATAAAAAATAAGTTGATAAAGGCAACAGCATGACTAGGTCTCTGTGTCACTACACCTAGAAGTAAGTGGGTTTGCCTTGAACGATCTGTGTCTGACCATCTGACCATCTGACCATAACAATTTGGCTAAACAATGACTGGAATCCTCGACTCCAAGACATGTGTACACCAGAAGTAAGTACTGTTACAAAGTAAATTGACTCCATATGATCCAAGAAGAGTAGTGGAATATTCATGACGAAACTCATACTTCATTATTCACTTTGAAATTCCAGGAACATCATCATTAGCCACTATGCTTGTCAAAGAGTTATAGCCTGCTGCTAGCAATGAAAAGCACAAAATGGATTGTTTTTGAGAGTGTATTAACATTATTTACTGCAGGGAATATACAAAAGGTTAGGTATAAATAATTAGAATACAAAACATTACATGTATAATATCATTAATAATCTAATGCTTTTTCCTTTTGATAAGTATTATGAGTGGTCATTAAGACTCTAATGCTTTTGCCTTTTGAAAAGTATTATGAGACGTGTGCCATTGATTTCAGTAATCAAAATACTTCACATATTATTTCCTGAAAAACATTTTTTTTCACTACATATTTCTTAAACATAGTACCTAAAGTTTAGATAAGTACTTTTCCATCTATTAAATTTTCGCTTTTTTTAATTCCTTTTTTTCTATATTAGGCTGCACAACTAGATTTTAATGCATTTACAGTATAGCATCCACACTTGGATGCACAAGCAACCCTTCAATGGTTCAAATTGAACATAGTACCATCAAGTGGCCCAAAAAGAGTTAATGTTTTAAAAATAGAATGTATATGAAATTTGGGTATATATGTATTTTTGAACATTGAACAAAAAATAAAAATTGAACAAAATACCCTAAAATTGTTTCAAGGGTATTTTGTTCAAAATATCTTTTTTATTATTTTTATTTGGTTCACTATATAAAAATACATCTATAACCAAAAATTCAAGATAAATATTAATTTAAAATAAAAATAAAAAATAAAATACAAAACTCTTTTGCGGTTGTTGGATGTGGCCATGTTAATCCAAGCCATTGAAAGGGTGCTTGTGCACCCTTCCACTGTCCACATTATGTGGACGGGAGACTTTCCCTTCTATGAATATAGCATTTCTCGGTTGTCCACACACACTTATTTCATATGATAAAGAAATATGTTTCAATACATTAGAAATTCAATTTCAAGTCAAAAGTAAGAGCTTGAGTTAGGCAAAACGTATAAGTATCAGCCTTAGCCTCACTTATGTACACATACAAAGAAAGACTAACATCACTTTTCTATGTATTAATAAAAATAAATAACTGATCAATACAAAATGAATAAAAAAAAGATAAATCTTGAACATGTGATCTATCTAGAAGAGTGTCCTGCAACACCTTTTGAGCACAAATCCTGCTCCAATTATTTCCAATGGGTCCAATTCTCGAGGGAATAGTGTGGCTCTCTTACCTCCTAGAATTAGAGGAAGAATTAGAAATTCATGTAAATGTATATTCATATATCATATTAGAGGCATCCATATGTACACAAGAAGTGAAACTGCTCTCACTAATCACTATAACACAAAAGATACATAAAAATATTACACTACCAATCTTATCACTTAGAATAATAAACACCACAAGATATACATCAACTAACAATAAATACGATGAGAATGTACATATCTAAAGCTAAAGATCACAACAAAATAAATAAATAAGACACCATTTTCATCTTGTATACCGGGAGCAGAGCAGATACTACAAAGGGAAACACCAAAATAATGAAGGAGCAAGGGAAAGCCTAACACTCAAGATAAAGATTTGTACCAGGACAAAAATAGTAGAGAACAGTGTTATGACTAGTGTTCAAAAATCGAACCGGCCTTGGAATCCGGCCCAAGGCCAGTTCCGAGTAACCGGTGAACCGGTCGATTCAATTGGCCTAACTGGGATTTTAAAAATACGAAAAGTATATTTAAAGCATGATTAAACAAAGCACATCCAAATGAAGTTGAAAATTAGTGAAAAAAGGGATTTTAAAAAATCGATTTGTGCCCAGTGCTATTTTTCAAATTTTTCAAAGAAGATGGGAAAATGTAAAAATAAGTATTCACGGCCAAAACACTTTCCAATCTTTTCCAAAATGATAAAGAACATTATAAAACACATTACAAACAAATCCCTTATTTTTTAGGATTTTGTATAATATTTTTTCAATTTTTTTAAAATACCTAGCCAGATCACCAAAACAGAAACCGGCCGATATTGCAAACATTGGTTATGACTTACGAGGATCAGACCATGTAGCACAAACCAGTCTGGCCAGTTGGATTGTTTGGCCCAAAACCAATCAGGTTTTTACCCTTCAAATATGGAATTCTCGCAAAACTTGTCAAAATTAGCACAGTTCCTCTAATTGGTTTCAACTCTAATAGCATCAACATTCCCTAAAACTTGTCCAGGAATAGAAACAATCTGTGATTCTCTTTTGAAAAAACATAATTGCATTTCTTTGAAGTAATCAAACCATTCCGATTCTATTTCTTGTGGAGTAAAAACCACAATTAATGTAAAGAGGGTAGGTCTTGTATCCATCAGCAAAGGCTTTGAACCAAGATTTCTTAATGCATTGCATGCGGAAGTCACAACTTAGCTATATCTTGGTCTTTGCTATCATCACCTACAAAATAGGCACAGTTCCTGGACATTTTGTACAAGCGCCCCTCTTCTAGAATTGATACAGTCCTCAACTGGATAATGGAATGTTGGAAATTGACTATACACACACACACACACACACACACACATATGCATTAGAGAGTTGAAACTGCCAGAGGTTGTACAAGGGAAGGAATTGATCCCAAGAGTTAAACCTTTACATACAAAGGAATTCATCCTAGGAGTTAAATCTTTACATACATCATTGTTTTCCCTGCATAAAAAAGAACCATTGCATCAAGTCCTGCACAAATTTAAGAGTGAAGAACTACAAGATGATTCTACTCATTATTGTTTACGAGAAGCTACGGAAGGAATAGTAAGTGTACTAAAAAAAATAAAACACATGGCAGGTGCAAGTTCTATTTATTTCATCTTGTATCTTTTCATAAAACCCTTGAGTGAGGTTATTCCATTAGTTCTATATTGTAAACGTTCACAGGGCACATGTCTGTCAATGTCCATGAAGTTACATTCGGAGGTTGTTGGCAACGATTCTGAATCTGAATCATTTTAGGAATCGGAATCCCAGATTTGCCAGCTAAAAGATTCATGCTTCCGAAATCGACGCCCATACAAGAGGAATTGTGGGAAACAAGATTCCTATTTTATAGTAATTGAGATCCAACCAAAATGGAATCAAGATCCCTACATGGATAGAATCGGGATCCTAGCTTTGTGGAATCGAATTTCCGACCTATTTGGAATCAACTAATATGGATTTGAGATTCTTTCTTTTATGGAATCAAGATTCCAACATCTTTGGAATCGAGATTCCTAGGAATTTCGAATCTAGATTCATACTAGTTTGGAATCGAGATTTGACCCAGATTTTTTTTTTTTAAAGTTGTTAACTGAGATTCGACCCAGATTGGAATCAAGATTCATAGTAGTTTGGATTTGTGTTTCAGCCCACCTAACAATCGATGTTTTTGACTCCCTTATAATCAAGCATCAAGCAGATTCATGGATAGTTAGTTTTGATTCTTTATTCTACTTGGCAATGAAGTATTATCAAACCTTTTATAACTTATTATCAAAACAGTTGTCCAATATTGCATACAAAATTAAATTATGCAACAAAGAGTTTCAGAGCCATTCTTTAATCAACTTGGCGCACATGTATGAGTACATTATTTTTAAATTTCTTGACTTACAATCTCGCTAATGGATCATTACAATGCACGATTAATGAAATTAGTCTACAAAGAACATAGGCCACTTGATTTTTATTGGTCATTTGTGGCCAAACAAATATGAAATAAAGATGATTGCCTGGTAACTTGAGATTGGGTGTTGAGTAATTTGACGCTTTGATATGTACGTGTATACTACAAACCGAGGTACTTGATGCTGTGGATTCTAGATTCAAAACCAAAACGAATCGAAATTCATTGCACATGGAATCGGGAATCAACAAATGTGAAATCAAGATTCAATAAATTTTGGAATCAAGATTTGAAATAGTTGGGACCATCATCATCATCATCTTCAAAGCCTTTTCCCAAACCGGAATCAACTATTAATTGAATCAATAGTTGGGACCGAGAATCTATTAATAATGGGGATTAAGATTTTTAAAACGAAATTCCTAAATTAAGAAATCGAGATTCCTAAACTCCACAAAATGGGTTCCATGACGATTCCCTTTTGGAATCACCGAATCGGGGCTCCAAACAGCAATTGCGACCTAGGCAAAGAGATTCTCAAAGCCATAAATTTTATGCTCTGGACATGAAATACAAGATGTATATTATTTTATCTATTACTTTCAAAAACACCAAGTCTTAAGTTCCAAAGGCCAATAATGCAACCATGGCAAAGATTTTAGCCTGCGTTATATCAATAATTCCTGTAGCTAACTGAAGTAACATTCTTTGTTTAATTGGTTTACCTTCTTCTGAAGAATAACAAAGAGAACACTATAACTACCAAATAGACACTCAGATCTGTGTTACCTGAAGTAATTCTTTACTGTCACCATCCTCCAGGGAAAAGCAAAGAAGAGAGAATAAATACCAAAAACAAACACTCATGTCAGAACCAGAAATTCACAAGCAACTATGAATGTCAAGCGGCAACTCAACACTAGTTACAGTTTAGTAAGAACCTGACCAAACATTTATGTTGGGCATCTTAAAACTCATCTGTTATTAGCATACAATGTGCTTCCAGTAACCAATGTTAAATAACCAAGTTATACATGAACTGACTCGAAGTAGCTATCATGACTAAAATTCACTAATGTGCTTGCACCCACAAACCCAGTTGACTTGCAGAAATCATAGCAGACAAATATTAAAAATATGATTATAATAAGGATTTCCTAGATTGTTCCTGGACCAAAATCCCAGATTGCTATATCCCATTTCCACAACATTGGAGTCACACAAACAGTTAGAAGAATAGAAGGAACACCAGTCAACAATGAAAAGATGCAAACATCATAAACAAGACTTCAGAAAAATGTACCAGCATATACAACTATAGGACAATGCTGCACTTGTTAAATATGCAAGGATAGTAAAAGAAAAACTGATATCAGGCTATAGAAGAATAGTAACTAAATATCATAGAATTTAACAAAAGATAAAAACAGAAAGAAAAAGGGCTATCATAGCATTGAACAAATGCCATCTCCAGAATATAGACAATTAGTTATGCAGGGCACAGTACGTTTTGCAAAATTATTTCCCGCTTTGCAATTAATCTGTCTTTAAAACTTGCAAACTAAGAAACAAAACATGAAACAACGCCCCAACCACTTACCTTCTTTTTCATTTAGCATCAAATTGCCAGAAAGCAAATCATTGTGCGCAAACACCACGTCCGACTTCAAAGAGTTTGTTAGTGCCTGTCAAAAAGTCAATAGAGTGAAGTGAGCAAGTAGTACTTTCAATACAATGATGATTTACTGAAATTATAAATTAAAGTCATTCTAAGAAATAGTACAAAACCAAAATTGAACTCAAGTACACTATCGAAGAGATTGACATGAAATCAATAAATGAATTTAGCAACATATAAATTTGGATAGACAAGTACTGCCTTTGTGACCTGTTCATTATTAACCAATACATATGACCAGACAATATTCTAGCCCTTAACTATCAGCAATTCATGACAATTTGATGGAGAAACAATATCAAGCTCAAATTCTGATGGTTGCCCTTGTTAACCCCGACCTGACAGGTATTGGAAAAATTTTCAGAGACAAAAGACAGTATTACCCTGTTATCCTTCTTGAAATCCATTCATCATGCCGACTCTACTACAGTTGAGGCCTTCTCCCTCCTCGTAGGCTTCAAATGTTTAAATACCACCGGAATAAGACCATGTCAAGCTCAACTTACGGTTTCTCCCTCAGCAATGCCTGCCCAGTGGGTATTGGAGGATTCAGGGTCAAAGATGCTACTACCCTGTTATCTTTCTCTATATCCATTGGTCATGCCGACTTCACAACAGCTGACGCCTTCGCCCTCCTCGAAGGCCTCAAATGTTTCAATCAAGCTTGAAGCCCGTTTTTGGTCATAGAGGAGGGCTCCAAAAAAGTAGTCTCTTGGGCTTCTAAAGCTTCAGCATGACCCATGAAGACTAAAACAGGTTTTTGACGAGACTTTTGAATTATGCAGGTCTATGCATATCTTCTTTCACCATGCGTGGCGTGAGGCAAATTTCAAAGTTGATAGCCTTGCAAAGAGTAAAGACAGCGCAATAGCAAGAACCACGATAGGGAACCCTTTAGCACCTTTTTGAGCTTTGGCTGCCAGATGTTTCCACTCACTTTGGATATAACGTCACAGAATTTTTGGATGTAAAATTGTTTGTCAAAAGGCTTTTTTTGGCTATGTACAGAGAGCACCATGCTTGTGAGCTGCTATACTTATTTTGTATCAAAACTCTGAGTTTAATTCTACCAGTAACACTTGATCCAAAATAAAAAATAAAAAAAATTCATGAAGAAATAATATGGGGTGAAAATTTTAGTGATGAACTAGCCGCTCTTCGGTGCAAGCTCTGTTGTGATTTCGATGGCAACCCGATAATTGCTTAATTGAAATTTGAGGCTATGGTTTGGAAATTTCACAGATTTTCATTTGTCGATTGATGCACAAGAATAAGCTCTGTTGTGATTTCGATGGCAAACCAGTAATTGCTTAATTGAAATTTAAGGCTATGGTTTGGAAATTTAACAAATTATTAGTCATCAATTGATGCACAAAAATTAAAATTTCCCATGAAGATTCAGAGTATCAATGCATATTCACTACAGCCTAATATTGGCTAGCGATAACTCAATTTAGCCAAAGAAAAAGTAACATCAACAATATCATGCAGAGGTAAGGTACTACAATCAAGACAGCCACAAAATTTATTCTACAACCCTCTGACAACAGTTGAAGTAATCATTCCTTCACAACTAATGATACATATAATCATCAGCCCAATATAGAACATACTGCAAAAAATGCAAGCCAACTTATAAAATTTTAAAACAGAAAGAAATACCAAAACCTAATTGAAAAAGAAATTTACCTAAAATTAGCCAAAATTCAACAAATAAACATTGGTAGACAACATCTGTGCTAGTTTTACACTGCCAAGAAGAGACGAATTATAAGGCAATGCACTACATCAGGACAAACATTCTGGTGGTTACCTTGAGCTCCATAACCTCATCTTGGATCTCCTGGAAAGATATTGTATCATATCTTTTCTGCTTCTCACTATCATCAAATTTAATACCAGAAGCTGCAAATTAGGATCAGTCAGCAAACAATTGACAGCACATGAGCATCACTAAGAAAGTGAACGAGTTGCAAAGGATGCCTAAGCAACTTTTCATAAATTTCTTTCTGAAGAAATAACTACCATATAAATCACATCCATCTAACATATAAAAGATTTAACTTATTTGGAGTACAATAACACTGTTTCCTTCTGGCACAATGTGGCTAATCACCTCAACCCATCAGATGTGAAATCGGGTGGCTGTGTGCGTACAATCAACTACCATGCAGTCTGAGAAAACTTCTCCAATTTTGTGCCGAGAAATGACATACCCCAGCCATCCAATTTTCCACCTGAGCGCTTGGATTGCTGTAACCTTTATGTACAAAAAAAGGTAACAGGTCTCATTGTATCCAATCCCTAATTTATAATTGGTAGCCATGCATGTACAGAACTCACGAAGCACTTCAAGACAAAAACAAAAAACTACCAAAGAGGACGACCTCTCTCAAGAAACTTATAAATATCATCCCATAGCTGGGGCTCTTTGGATCCTGGTACTTCCACCTGATGGAAAGTACAAAGTTGTCTTGCTATTTCAGCAGCAATTTTTGGCTGGCTCATATCTGTCAGAAAAAAAGACAAAATCAAAAAAACAAAGAAGAAGTTTCATGCACGTATTATGATAATATCAATCAATTTGGGATGTGGAATTATCCTATGTTTTCTTGAATTCTTAGAAAGAAAGGTGAGTTCTAACTTATTTCAATTTTCAAAAGAAGCTGGATCAACAGCGGACTATCTTGCATACTTAACTATTTAAGAGTTTTCTGGTCTTTTTCTGGAACATGACAATGTATAAGTGCTATCTAGAGTATGTAGCAGCCAAACTAAAAAACAATCAAGCTGCCATGGCAGTTGAATACTTTTCCTATTACCTTCATCTTCCATTCTTTTACATAGAGAGTTCATAGAGAATGACAAGCTCATGGCTTGCAAATTTTCTGCCCGCGGGGGAGAGGGACCTCAATTGTAAAACCTTGTATCATGAAAATTACAAACCAAGTTGCAACATTCTTATTCATATACACCATTTTTTAAAATTGGTTCAATGTTTTGTTTAAACTATGTTATGTGCAGAATTATGCAAGATAATTGCAAATTGGTAATGGAGAATTCACTTTTCCCATATAATTTATCCTTCATTTATTTTGTTCAAAGGTTCAGTATTTTGCTTTAGATCATACGTGGTTTGCAGGACCAGACAAGTTACTACTTGTTATGGCTCAGAGCATCTCATACATGGGTTTGGGTTGGCAGGGACGAATGTATAGTTAAGCATAGGGTGAAGTGTTAGGATGCTTTATGTTTTCAGTAGAGAGGTTCCACTAGTTCCACATGAGGGTAGATGGTACCTAGGATTTCCATAATTGGATAAAACCGGTACCGGTCAATGAGGTAGGTACAGGGATTACTATCACAGCACAGTGATGAAGCAAGAAAGCTACACACGGTAAGATTGATTACGGTTGAGGACCCCAGAAATTAGGAAGTACATAATGCCACAGGTAGTGGTTGTTTTTTTTTCCCTTAATTCTCTTTTGCAGTTTCCTGCAACATGTGTGTGCACCTTATTCACAATATCGTTAAATTGATAACCACAGGGCTCAATCCTGAAGACCAACTTCTAAGTGATTGGCTCAGTTGAAGAAAAATACTCTGCACAACCAACTAGGCCAGATGGAGAATTTTCTTAGCATGCTTCTCATGTCTGACTTTGCAAAAATTTTATGGATTCCTATTCAACTTTTTGTGAATCTGAAAGGGGCCTAGGAGAAGAACAATCTGTGAAAATTTCATGAGAACAGGTTCAAAATGGGGGAGAACATTTTTCAACTGTGTCAAAAAAACAGAAACTTTGTTTTATGGATCATGGGATTTCAAAGAGAGAGAGGGGAGGGGGGGGGGGGGGGGGGGGGCGTTGGACCTGCTACTCACTGATCCCAAGCCCACGTTGGTTCTGAGTTGGCTTGGTGATTTTTTAAACTAGTTTTGTATATTTTCTTGGCAGATGTTGGTTCCTTCCTTTCATTTTCAAATTTGCAAAATCAGCAATTTGTCCTATGTTTTCCTCATACTCTCTTTAACATACTCTTTCACATACTTTACTACGCCAACTAAGAAAATAACAAATAACACTCGCTTATAACCCCTCTATAATCACAAGTGAAGAGAAACTACATGAATGTATCTTAATGTTTACGTCCTTCTTTTTAACAGCTAAAAAATTAATTTAATAATATATTCTAATGCTCAATAGATGGATAGTTTATCAAGTAAAATTTTTACCCGATGGAGAAAGAGTTCGAGCATCAATGAAAGATTGCACCATCCCATTCCCAAATACACCAAGCAACTTTGCCCCAAATCCAGCAGCTGAAAGATAGCATATGGCCTAAAGCAAACAGAAGGTAAGTAAATGCCAAAGTGGCCAGCAAAAAAAAGAATCTGATAATATTTAAAGCATCGAAAATACACTGTGATGAAGTTAACAATATATAGTTTAATTTATTAGGTTAGTAAATAATGGTCATGTGAGCATCCAACAAAATTATATGATATGGTTCAAGAAAACAAATAAAAAGCAATAAGCAACTCTCAAACGCCTAATGAGGAGGAAATTTTAAAAGATATAGACGAGGGGCAAAACTAGAAAACAAATAAATATAGAACAAGCACATCCACATCTTCAATTAGAAAAATCAATCTACAGGTCGATGAAAAATTCAAAACAACACATCAATAATGACAATAAACTACCACTTGTCTTTTTCAATATAACTGGTGTCTATCAATATAACATATAAAATTGCCATGTACTATAAAATTATCAGTGTCATGAGGTTGAATCGGGCACTTCTTAACAAGCAATTCAAAAATGTATTGAATGTGATGAAGCTAAAACAAAATTAGGTTGAAGAATTGCTTCTTCATAAAGTAATTATGTCCTCTCACAACTTTATAAATGGGGGAGCTTCATGAGGTATAGGGATTTAGAATACCTAGGAAACATTGGTAAAGATGTTGCTACGTAGAAGAAAGACGTTTTTACCAAAAACAATATATTCAATCAAATAAATCTGTTAAAAAGAAAACATATTGTCCATGTAATATTACCACAGAATAGACATTATGTACAAATCTCCAAACATATACTTATGTAGTATTTAATTTCAATTATTCATAATACAATAATTTCATAAATTTCTTAGATTTTCATTCGTCGCAATCCCTTGAGGACTATTTTGGTCCTTCGACCTGAAGATCTTTGGATTGCTATCATGCAACTAGAGCTAGAATAAGGAGTGAAGCATCTCTTAGAGACAAAAATAAAAGTAATTGAAGTAAACAAATCCACATGGCTGATACCATACTCTTATAAAAATGGAAGGCTATAAGTCTCACCATAAAAATCTCCAGTAAAAGATTTCATATTCAAGTTTGCTACTTCACCCACACTCCATGGTGTCTTTATCAAGAGGTAAATAAACAAAATCTCAGACATAATTTTTCTAGTCACGAAATATTTTTGCCCACATTGTCATAAAAATGGAATGAGAACACTATATTTTCTGCATTTGAAACTCTTAATAAAAGGGAAATTAAAGTTTCACACTCAAGAACAAATTAAATCAAAACAAGCAAACCTTGTCTGAGAAACCATGCAACTGGTTTGTACTTTCTGGTAGTTTCTAGATGCTGGTGTTGAAGCCTCATAATAATTTTTGCTAATGGAAATTACATATTAATACTACCAAATAACTTGAGGATGCTACGTATAAATTATCAAACACATAGAACACTCAATAAGACCAAAAGACATCGATCCCTTTGATTCCCTCCATAAGCACGAGTCTAATGACTTTTTTATTTTGAAAAGGATTCCAAATGGTGGTCACCAATTTTCTATAGTATTTTGGTAACACTCTCAGCCATTTGATCTTAATTGGACAGTTTAGAGTGCATACCACTAATTGAATTTTATTTTATTTTTTACACATCGATTGGGCTGATATTTTCACCCCCACACACCTAAAAAAGTACAAATAAAAATAATTCTAAATAATAAAGCCCAAAGTACCCCTGCAATTTTGCAAGAGTATATTTCTCACTTTATTTTGTTAGAATTATTTTTTATATCTTTTTCAGCTATGCCCAAATGAGGCAGACCACCCTTAAAATTTCAGCCCAAGCCAATTTGTAATTTAAAAAAATTCAAATAGTGCACACTCTCAACAATCTAGTCAAGATCAAACGGTTGAGTGTCATCTACATTGCCCTAAATATTAGGAAGCTTTTTCCCTTTCCTTTTTTTTTCATTGGTAATCTGCATGAGCAAATGTTTTAGTAAAATCTGGAATCATATTTGTGAAAGTGAGATAGTTAGTAAAGTTGAGGTTACCAATACTTACGTGTAATCACTGAAGACATTTCCATGCCACTAGACCAGTATGAAAATGCCATTAGAGAGAAGAATGGCAAAGAAACTGGAAACAAAATGAAGCAATATAAGCAAGTAATTTCAAAAATTGAATGTTTGAAGTTTCCAAGGGAGTCACATTCATCAGAAAAGGTACAACACCAGCCATAACACATAAAAAAGACATACTGCTTTAAAAGTAAATCATCATGCTGTTCAGCAATAGTTGACTGAGTCCAAATGACAATGGCCATGCCAGTATATTGTTGGGAGATTTTTAACTGCTCGATAACATTACTGTCTTATTTTTCACATCAACCAATAGTTAGCACTTAGCAGCCTATTTGTTGGTTCCAAACAAGATGAATTGCACCAAAAGAGAGACAATGAATGCAATAATATTACCTTTGTTACTTTGTAAATGCAGGTACAGAAAACTGCTTCCTATCTAAAAGAGCATCAATACTAGTATCTATGTAATAACAATGTGGTGAAACTCAAATTACCAATCAAAAAAAGTTTCTAAAAAGAAAAATGGAAGTAAATTTAAAAATCAACTGAACAATAGCATAAACGCATTAAGTTCATTTAATTAGGATAAGACATTTAAACCCAAAAACAAAAAAAAAACAAAAGGTTTCAGAGTCCTTGGCTCTAACCTGCAATTCTCGTTGCCGATTAATTACATATTCAGTGTTAGGGCCAAAAAGTCTAACAGTAACAAGAGAAACCTTCCCATTGTCTTCTTTTACAGAAACCTTTAATACTGTAACATGATCAATACAAAGGAGAACAGTGAATTTCACTTCAATGTATTTGCATAAAGAAAAGAGATGGGCACACAGATAAAAGGTAAGAATGCGACAAAAGAGCAGAAATGTAAGTTTCAAAAACGATCCATCCATCACTATCTACTTTCAAGACAAATTTTGCATAAACATGACCACAGATTTATTTGAGCAAGTAGACAACAGCATTGCATGTTGGAAATGATCCAGTGTGGCAAGTACTACTAAACCAATAGAAGATATAAAATAAAAACAACCAATATCCCACACAACTAATGCCTACCGAGGATAATTTATAATAGCAGAAGAAAGATTGGCATGGAAGTCCAACTTACCCATTTAAGATATATATGATATATATGACAGTTTTAGAGAAATAAAGAATGAATAAACGCCAAATATTTACCCACAAGAAACTTCCATAAACCCTAGGAACATGGAAAAATAAATCTTATTTTGCTATGTTTAGCATATTTTCTTCAGATAATTAAATAACATTTTTTCCAGGATTATGCCTCAAGCTACTTTACAACTTATGCTTCTTCAAACTAAGCCCAAACCTTTCTATGCCTTTGAGTTACTTTTTGAAGTAAAAAGCTATTCACTAAAATAGGCGAAACAGTGCCTTCAAGTTAACCAATTACACAACAATGAACAGGATTGATTTTTTATAAGCCATGCATAAGATTGCATTTTGATGTTATAACATAAGATTGTTCCTGGAATATGGGGATGGCTATGAAACAGCTAAGAAAACAAATCCTATGTTTGAATTTTTAAAGTAATGTAACATCAGCAATCCAAACCAGTGATACTTCCCATTCAACCAAAAGCTCACTGTATGATTGGGCAAAAATAATGACAATTAGAAAGAACTTTAAAACCAGTAGAGAATGATCCCTACAAATTTTACTTACAGAGGTTTGTGATCCCTCCGGACACAGTTTCAATTGAGAAACGCGAATCTTCCAAGCAAGACCACTTCTTAAACAAACTCTTGCACAAATCTCTGCACCCATAAGAAGAAAACCCAGCACAAAAAAGACTTCAAAAACAGGAAGAAGTACAAATTCTATTGAAGCTGGAAAACTCGAGAGAGAAAGACAAATATAAACCAACGAATAAGAAGAGAGAGAGAGAGAGAGAGAGAGAGAGAGAGGAGGATACACGATTTTGGGTTTCATTTGCGGAAGGGGGAGAGAGATGTAAATGGTGATGGGAGAAGCGGGGAGGTCTGGAAATGTGTGCTCTGCTGCTTCAGAAATCTCTTCCATGGCTTCCGTTCCATTTTCCTTGGCCCCCATTATTACCACCACCATCCAAGCAATTCTTAATCCGAACACGAGTTTCTCTCCCTCAAATCGGACCAAAGTTCTCTCCAAAGTCTCCAGATATTTAGGATCAAGTTCGGAATAAATAGGTGAGTGAATTTCACCGCATTTTCATTTGACCAATTCCAGTAGAGAGAGAGAGAGAGGGAGCATCAAGCCTCTAGCCCAGCCTAGAGAGAGGATGGGGGTTAAATTTCCATATTAATAAATTTATTAATGGGTTTTTCCAAAACAGGAGATGACGACAAAAAAATATTTTATTACTGGGCTTTAGATTTTTGTGTTATTCTCTATAGCGTTAAAAGGCTGAAGGAGACGCATGGAGAGGAATAATAAACGTATAGGAATATCTCTTAGGAATAAATGTAAGAAGACTATTTACCTTTTGCATAAAAATAAAACTTTATTATTTACAGCCACTTGATGTGATAGCTTGGGTTTGACATCAAAGTTGAGAAATGTTTTTTTACATCTTTGAGTTTGATTAATGAATTCAATCAATCGATTTTACATCCAATAGTCAAGATTAGGTATGATGATGTTGTATAAAAGGTAAATGGTTTCATCATATACTTTTTCAACACATTTATTGACGTTCGTGGATAGGGGTGGCAATGGATCCGACTAGACCCAAGTCGGGATCGGTATACCCGACCTTGGATGTGGGTCCAAATTTTGGTCTCGAATATTATTTGGGTCTGGGTCTGGGTCTGGGTCCGGGTCCAACCACATCTGACCCGTACCAGTAGTCATAGGATATATGATGGCAATCATCTGTCTTTAGACGCACACGCTAGCTATTCATATTATCATAATATTGACAATATTTATAATATTATCGGTAAAACAAAAAAAAGTTTATAGCCATAGAGTATATGATGATAAAAAAAATAAATAAATAAATAAAAAGAGAAAGGAGCTCATAGTTATAGGATGCCAATGGATCCGACTAGACCCGAGACCCGACAAGTAGACCTGGGACTCAATGGGTCAGGGTACACGATTTTAAACCCAAATGCTATTCGAATCTGGGTCCAAGTCCAGCCAAACCCCGCTCGTTGCCTCTGCTATCTGTGGGTGGGGAGGAGCCGCACTTCTTTTTGAAGAGATCAAAAGGTACCATCTCAATTCTATATCATTATAAATGCTTGCGCTACTACTCAAATTACTTGTCAAATGTTGAAACGTTCCTTAAATGCGTGATGTTGTAAAGGGTTGTACTACGTACTACTTCTATGCAAACCAAAAAGGATGGATTTCTTATGCATTACTATATGGAAAATGGTTTGATAGGGCTGCGGTCCTATCAAAATAAGTAAATCCTCACTTTATAAAATTTCGAGCATTCAAAAACTATTTTTTATCATCTCCACTTGAACATTACGTATGTGAAAAAAAAAAAAAATTTTCAAACTCTAAAAATAATACATATTGTAACAAATTATCCAAATCGTTTACTTTGCTTTCAAAATTAGTGTTCACATATCCACAAGATCGGTAGTATTTGTTTAATTCCAAATTTTATTGTTAGTTTTGGAAATTTATTTTAGAATCATGATCGATATTTTTATCACCCAAAGTATATTACAAAAGAGGATTTGTGGTGAGGTTTTATTTTGTTTTCATGAAGCCTAGACCTTATAAAAACTTCATCTTTACTTCATCGTAAATCTTATATTTAAATAAATTATAAAATATTAAATTAATTTATAATTTCATATTCATAATTGTTGCGGTTGAAATGAACTACCTACGAACTACTGGTAAAATACATTTTTAAAAGGGCACAATTTGGACAAAGCAATTAATTGTAGAATCTCTCTCCTCGTGGACTCTTGGATCTAAAATTGGCAAAAGGGGTTTATTGTCGGTGTGACGCATAACCACATTTGTGTTGCCGAGAGACCACGTACTTATATGGATGTGTACTTGCGGTCTCTCAAAAAATGATAAAATCGCAGGTATAAAAATTTTCTTCCCAAAATTTTACTTAGTTTCTAAAATTTACTTCTTTTACATATGGGAAAAGTTTATATAGAGCTGACGCTCCAAACGATCAACTTGAGCTTACCCAAAAAATTTCACTAAAAGAGTTTGTTTTGATGTCCAAATAACTTCAAATTTACCATCTTGACATCTTGATGCATGGACATGAGAAAGAAATAGATTTCAAGTTTTGAAAATAATCTATTTTGTAACACAATTTTGGACCGTCAATTTTTAAGATTTTTAAGTTTTCATAGATCTGTCAATCTACACTATTTTTGTAGCTTTAAACTTTATAAATAAATATAATAATATATCTTATGGCTATCACAAATATTTTCAATATTAAAACCATATTTCTAGATACTATTTCAAAGTAGGCTCTAATTTAATTGTTTAGACTTTAGAGAGTAGGTTCTATACAAACCGCACTTTTTTACATATTGATGATTGCATGTCAGACATCATATATATACCAGAAATATTAAACCGTGGCTCGATCTTTACTAGCTCGGGCCTGACTTTTCACTTAAGGGGCCCAGCCTGACCAGTCTTGGGCTGGTCTTGACTAGGCAGGTAAAAGGCCCTAGGTCTGACCTTACCCTTGGGTCAAGAAGAAATGGGGTTGGGCATGAATTATTTATTATTTTTTAAATTAATAAAATGAACAATAAAAAATTGCAAGGCCATACCGGGCCTAGATTTTAGGATGGGACCGGCCACCCTAATGGTCCTCTTTGTGATGAGGTTGCTTTCCAATCACTCCAATATCTTAAAGGAACACCTCAAAAATTTCATTAGAAAAGGTTGTTTTGATGCTCAAATATCTTCCAATTGATCATCTCGACATCAAGATGCATGGACATAAAAAAAAAAATGGATTTCAAGTTTTGGAAATAGTACATCTTGTAACACATTTTTGGACCGTCAATTTTCAAAATTTTCAAGTTTTCATAGATCGATCTGAAATATGTAGCATGTCAATATGGCTCTAGAATCTTAGAACAAGTTACATAGAATATCCACCGACAACAAAGACCCCAAAGAAGAATTTAACTAGCCTAGGCTCTAAATAATCAAATTAGAACCTACCTTCAAATAGTGTCAATAAATGTGGTTTCAACACTGGAAATCTTAGTGATAGCCTTAAAATATATTTTCATATTTATTTATAAAGTTTAAAGGTTCAAATATAGTGTAGGTCGACATATATATGAAAACTAGAAAATTGACAATAAAAAAATGTGTTACAAAATATACAACTTCCAAAACTTAAAATCTTTTTTTTTCTCATGTCCATACATCTTGATGTCGAGATGATCAATTTGAAGATATTTTGAGCATCAAAACAACCTCTTCTAGTAAAATTTTGTGGTAGGCTCCAATTTGATTATTTAGAACCTCGGCTCTATATAAAATTTTCCCTTATCTAAAAAAGTTCTAAATTATCTTTGATTTACCTGTGAACAAATTGACAATAAATAAAACAAATATATCAGGCCTTAAAGACCTATTTCTAAGCATCCTATAATAGGCAATTCTAAGCTAATCTTTTTGGGGCTTTGTTTTAGAGCAGTGTTCCAAAACTTGTCTGAGTCAAGTCGGGCTCAGCTGAGTTACTTTTGTCGGCTAGTGACCGAGGCAAGTTTCCATTCCACTTGGGTGCACGGAAAAATAAGCCTTTTTTTTTTCAAATCTCCTTTCTCGCTTTCTCACACACACACACTCACACTCAGAGACCCATTCTTTTTGAAACTTGTTTATCTTAAAAACATCCTCTCTACCTAGTATCCTTCTGTCTATCTATTTATCTATCTATGTGTGGACCACCCCACCCTGAAATTATTGCTTTGTCTTAGGTTTTCCCTTTCGATAAAATATCTTGTTTTTTCTTCATATTTTTTTTTCCTCTTTCAGTATTACTGCTTATTTTTGAAAAAAAGAGAAGAAAAGAGAAAAAAGAAGAAGAAAATCTTTAATTCTTGTTTCCTGCATCTAGTTTGATTATCGCGATGCTTGCTTGTTACAAGTTTTGCACATGTGTTCTAGTTCATACAAGTTACACACAAACACTTTGAATTTCTAAAACCCCTTGAGGGCACCTAACTTTTGTGAGTAGGAGGGTTAGGAATTGTGCAACATTCACATGAGCGCCCATTTGTAGTTTCTTAGCCTCAAAAGCAGCCCACACAAAGACCCTTGCCTCACCTTTCATTGCAACTTGGAACTCATATAGTTACTCATAAGAGCTTGCCTTGATTTCAGCTGTTTTCTCTAGTTCGGAATCCCACCCAGCCTTGGCTTATTCCTATGATTGTTTTGTGCATTCTTAGATTAGAGTAACTATGTCAGTAGTCTGAGTTGATTCGGTTGCCAAGTCCATTGCCTTACCTAAACATAGGTAATAATGTTCGTAAAATTGAACAGGAATGGTTAACTGGACATATGCCTGAAAGCTGCTTAACCGGCCTAACTGGTTAATCGGCCGATTCAACCGCTCTAATGGCAAGTCTTGAGCAGTCAAAAAAATGTTGAAATAAATTTAAAAAATACAAAAAAAAACTGCTAAAATATGAAAAACATATAAAGAATGATTAAAACAAAATACATTCAAATGAAGTTGAAAATTAATGCAAAAAAATGGATTTTAACCCATTTTTTATTTTCTAATGGTTATTTTAATTTTTTTAAAAAAAAGATGGAAAAAATATAAGAGTGAGTATTAATGATCAAAACAATTTTTAATTTTTACCATAATATAAAGAGTATTTAAAAGTGCATTACAAATCAAATTCCTTATTTTTGAGAATTTATATACATTTTTTTGAATTTTTTTTTTAAATACTCGTTGATCACCCTAACTGTCCAAAACCAGAGCACGCCACTGGCTGGTTCCAATCTAACCGGGCAGTTTGTGATTAGATCGGGCTATTTTACAAACAATGGTAGGTAACCATGGGTGTCTAAGATAGTGTTCCATGGACCTCGCCCTAGAGTCATCCCAAGCCCAGTTCAAAGTAGGGAGTCGTCATCCATCTCCACACAAGGCACCCAAAGCCATGAGGTCTGTATTGCCATATAAACCTTCAACAGTCGAGGCATAAGGCCTGTCGTGGGCAGAGGCCAATTCGTGCTAGGTAAGAGCCGGTTTGGCCCACAGGCTTTCGGGCATGGCCAGGCCCCTTGTATTTTAAGGCTAGGTCCTACCCCCGCCCCCAGCCTGAAAAATTTCATAAGCTTTAAGGATAATATCTTTTCTACATTTATAAAAAGCCCCGGCCTAATCTTTTAATGTTCGGATGGCTCCGGCCTCTTAGGCAAGCTTTTTGGGCCAGGCCTTAATTTTTTAGGGCCCAAGCCAAGCCGGGCATCTATCTTAGATGATTTCGGTCTAGAGCCAAACCCAACATGTTAAACAGCCCTAACTCCAATAGCATTTGAGAATGCATTCCTGAGAATCGTGGCGTTCTCCAAAAATCACGGTTAAGGGGATTTTTTCCTTCATCTAAAAATTTCCTGACCCATTCACCCTGTCAACAATTCTGACCAAAAAAAAAAAAGGGAAAAAAAAAAAACATATGAGGTTCTAAAAACTCTTGATTTTCCATACTCATGTAACTTTTATCTTCTTTATTGTGTTATTGCAAATCTCCTATTTTTCCGGGTTTTCATTAGCACAATGTCTCAAATTCCCAAGTTCCATTATGATGTAACCTTGTAAAAAAATAAAAAATAAAAATAAAAAAGGTGAAACTTTTAAGGGATAAATAATTTGGAGCATTTTTTAAATCCAAACCATTTTTCTCTATGGAATTGATATGTGGGGTACTAAGTTATGATCTCAAAATCAAGAAAATTTAGCTCCTCTACTTTCTTGGTGGAAAAACTATGAATGAACTTTCCCAATGGCCCAAACGGTTCAATTCCCTTCTCTCAATTGAAATCCAAGCATAGCGACAGGAGACTACAAACTTTTAGCAATCTCAGCCCTTTTACAGACAAATTAAGGGTTGTCTTGTGTCTGATTAATGACCAAGTGGAGGTTTGGGGTCTTGCGTGGTGGTTAGGGCATCCAAGGTCCACAGCAGTTCAAATCCAAATTCTGAGAGAGAGATTAATCATGTCTACTGGGAAGTGAATGATATTGCGGATGGATTGCCTAAGCATGGGCATTATTTGTCTGAGACAGTTGTTGTAAATGATCTATTATTGTCTAAGTATGAGCTTTTTATGCTTCTCCTATAACATAAAACTTATATGCTTCCCCTTATCCAACCGTGCTTCCCCTTATTCAACCGTCCATTCTGAATGGACAACTGAGATGACCCCAATCACAGTGTCATGCCTCTACACTACTTTATTTTTAATTTTTTTTCTAGAATTTATTTTGATACTAAGTTTTGGGTGTCCACTCCTCTCTTAAACACACTAGTAAAAGATATAAAAACAATGTTATTACTGTTTGGGTTCTCTTTGCCGAAACAATTGCTGTAAATGATCTCATTATTGTTTGAGATCTATGTAATGAGCAAGCTTGCTATACTTCCCCTACATCATAAAACTTAAATTCTTCTCCTTATCCAACCGTCCATTCTGAATGGATGGCTGAGATGACCCCAATTACAATGCATGCCTCTACACTATTTTATTTTTAATTTTTTCTAGAATTTGTTTTGATAGCAAATTTTGGGTGTCCACTCCTCTCTTAAACTCATGCTTGTAAAAAAAATATAAAAACAATATTACTAATAAAATAAATGACTAAAATACCCCTAAATGTTTTAAGCGGTATTTCAATCATTATATTTTATCGAAGATGCTTTTTTTAATATTTTTCATAAGTGCACCCCATTAAGAAGATGTTACATATCAAATTTTATATTCCTACAATTCGTAGAAAAAAAAACTAGAAAATAAAATACTATGAGGGATCTAGATCAAACGGTGTGGAGCCTACTTGATCTAAATTGAACGGCTGGATGGGAAAGGAATCATGAGGTATAAAAACCTATCCCCTATGGAATTAGTTTTTAAGCTATCCAAAGAGACAGAGAGAGATTGGAACATATTACTAGGCGGTCATAATGCCAAACACCCCATCATCAAAGGAAAGAACAATAGAGTGACTAAACTTATAAGGTTTCACCACAAACAATTTTCTCTATTTATCAAAATTGATGATTATCTTATGCACAAACTTTTTTTCTATAAATTCCTAATTTAATATTTCTAGAGACCTCCAATCTTATCCTTATCCTAAGTAACCCAAGGGACACTTTAAAAATGCTAAAACGCTTTATGGAAATAGAAACCCACAAATGTAAAAAAGAGAAAACCCTAATGAGCTTTTAAAAATGGAAATCTCATTTCTAAATACTTAGGTTCGAAATGTATAACATCAGTAAATATTTAATAAACTACCCCAAAAGTCAATTGGAAATTAGAGATCATAGTGCGTCTAACATCACTTTTCACCTTAAAACCTAAAGAACAACTAAGGGCTTACTTGTTTGAACTTGAACCCTCAGATTATGATGAAAGTTACGCCGTTAAGGATAGGGCATGGTCTCAAATTTCTTAGGGATTTTAGGGGCATTTTGAAAATTTTAGCGCTGACTTTCTGTATGTTTCTAATTAAGAATCCTCAAAACAAAAATTCTATTTTTAAGAGCTCATAAGAAATTTTGACATAGTTAGGGATTCCGTAGATATATATATTTCAGAAAGTTTTTTTTTTTTTAATGTATTTTTAAGCATCTCTAGGATTCCCTAGGATAAGGTTGAAAGTTTCTAGAAACTCCAAAATTAGTCCTAGGTGTTTATATAAAGGTTTGTATGCATAAGATTTTATCCATATATTTCAGAAAGTTCTTTTTTTTTGTATTTTTAAGCATCTCTAGGATTCCCTGAGATAACGACGAAGGTCTCTAAAAACTCCAAAATTAGTCCTAGGTGTTTATATAAAGGAAAAAGTTTATATAAGGTTGCAACCTTAAAATGTAGAATTAAAGATGGACCTAAAAAATTCATTGGAAAATATTGTTTTAATGTTGAAAAAATTTCTAATTGATCATCTCGACATTGAGATGTATGAATATGAAAAAAAGAAGAGATTTTGAGTCTCAAAAATAAGGCATCTTGCAACACATTATATGGACCGTCCATTTTCAAAATTTTCATATGTCTATAGACATACTGAATTTTAACTATTTTTAGAGTTTAAAATTTTATAATTAGATATGAAAATAGATTTTGAGATAATCCTCAGAATTTTTTACACCAAAATTAAATGTTATGATAAAATTTGGAGGTGCGCCTTAATTGGATTGTATAAGGTTGCAACCTTACAGAAACCAAACCCTTATATATAGGTGGTCTGTATGCATAAGATTCATTACCAGTTTTTGGCAATAGAAGAAGATTGTGGTGAAACCTCATAAGGTTTAACCACTCAGTTGTTCCTAATTATCTTGAAGAAGATTGTGGTGAAACCTCATAGGTTTAACCACTCAGTTGTTCTTACTTTTCTCTTCCCTCTCTGCACCAAAATGGGTTGCGAGGATTGGCTAAGCAGCTCTAGGTCATCCCAAAGAAGATTGAAGGAAAACATTATTACTTTTCTCTTCCCTCTCTGCACCAAAATGGGTTGAGAGGATTGGCTAAGCATCTCTAGGTCATCCCAAAGAAGATTGAAGGTAAACATTGCAGTGTTTGGAATAATTTCTCTTTTCACAAGGCTTCCCGCTCCCTATTGGTTCCTTCATCCATGCTTCTAAAGTCCATTGTTTTCCTCTTTGTGAAAAGGCCTCTTCCGATCCTCTCCCTCAAGCCCACTAGAATTCTCCACTCTAGGGAGTCTCTATGTGTGTTTTGCCTGTGCGCATGCAAGTGCATCACCTATCTCCCCTCTCTAATGGTATGATTATCCCCTGATCCATTTGATCATGGCAACAATGTGGTCATAAGGGTCATCAGTGTGCGACCCATGGCTTGGATGTGATGGAAGGAGGGTGGGAAGTACAACTGATTTATAGACATGTTTGGTGGGACCAAACTCCAACCATACCTCCACCACCGTTCGTTTGGTTACAATAAAGATTGATGACACCTATGTCTATAGTATGTCATGATCTAATGGGACAGCAGAGTTTCCCATTTAGTGAGTTAAATACCATACAATAGTTGCCACAGAACATGTACCATACAAGTATAATGATTCGACGCGTGATGTAGAACAAGCACAACAAAAAATAAAAGCATTTTCCAGATCTAAATGTAAGGAATGAACTTTAGGTCTGTCTAATACATAGTATTTACCGATATTTACTACAGTTTTCTAAATCATAGAGCATGAGATAAAAGCTTTATGAATGAGAACCTTTATAGATTCTAGATCTGAGAGTAACTAGCTTTCTTGAGATGGACAAGCTCGAGTTACGATCTCAAAACCTATATTCTGATTCCTTGTTCACTTTACTCTTCCATCCTCTGAACCTAAAACCAGCCATCAAAGCATCTAGCCATCCATGCAAGATAAAGACACGCACTGCTAAGCCCGCTGCAGATCTCTTCCTTCACCCAAATGAGTTTTTTTGTATGTTGTATTTTGATCCAAAAAGGTCAACCTTGCTTCATATAAAATAAATTCAAGCAAATATGAACTTTAAATTGGCCATTAATGGCTGGTAACTGTGATTGAGCCTTCTGCGACAACATTAGCTGTGATTGAGCCTTCTGCGACAACAGCCAAACAGGAAGACCCCCATTACAGACTTTGATTTGTTCTTTTAAACCAGAGGGCCGATCATATTAAGCACAGTGAAGCTTATGCTTGTAGCACTTGACAGTGAACAATATGGCTCTTGAGTCGGTTTCGTCCAGCAATACTTGACCAGAGGTTTGTCACGAAAGTCTTGAAATGTCCCTTTCCTGCAATAGTCTCCCAAAGCTGACCCACCCTTCTCGATTCATCAGACTTCGAAACATCCACTAAAGTGATGCTCATATTGTTTCGAATAATGCAAAGCTTTCCATTAAGTGGAACAAGGGCTGCTGCCTCCAATGCCCTTGAGTTTCCCAAGTGGAGCCTACTGTCTATGTGCCTACTCCATGAATCTGTTGCCCCATCATAAACCCTAATTTTGCAACCATCCTTACAATCCAATGCATATAATTCACCATTAATTGATACACTAGGGTTTCGCCACCCTGCAACCATGCCATCATAAACTGGGTTCCAATTATTCGACTCGGGAATGTACACCTCACTCATAACTTGGCGGTGAGACCCAAGGCCTTTCAAGAACCACCTTCCTTCATAAACCACCCCAATAAATGGCACCATTGCTGTGCTCATATCAGCTATAAAGGACCATCTATTTTTGTTGGGATCATATACTTCGGCAGATCTCAAAGACCTGGGGTTTCCCTCACATTCCCCACCTGCCACATATAAGCAATTGTTTATCACACAGGACCCAAAGAAGTGCCTTCTCCTAAGCATATCAGGTGCTCGATGCCACTTATTAGTCCTGGCACTATAAAATATGACCCTCCTCATTGAGCCCTTTAATGGGTCTTTTCCCCCAAATAAATAGAGGTGGCAACCACTTAAAACAGCGCAACCAAACCCAAGGGCCTCTGAATACTCACCAGGAACAGGGGGAAGTGGCTGCCAGAGCTGATACACTGGATCGAAAGCATGCCATGATATCTTCCCTTCTTTGTCTCTCTTGATAACATAAATCCATTCTTCAGCCATTCCAAGGCTCTTGCGAAGAGAGTAGAAAAAGTTTCCAGCCAAGAGACGGTACCATCTTTTGCAGACTAAGCGGAGCTTTCGATGCTCGACTCGAGGGACTCTGATCAAGCATGCAATGGCTAGGTCATCAGGAAGGCCAGGGAGCAATGGAGATTGGCCTCGACTTCTATCACCACGAATGACCTTGTTTCGAGAGGAGTGGATGGATGGTTTGATGTCAGGTTGGATGCATAGTTTTGAGCCTGGGACAAACTTTCTTGCTCCTGCAACGGTCTTGAGGCCTGTGTCAACTCGACAGTAGCATGCTGCAGTGTCAACCTGTTTAATTCATACAAAAGTATAAGTCCATGACCCAGATGACTGATGCGTACATGGTACAATAGAAAAAAGAATATAAGGAAGGAACATGCTGCGGATGGATTTGAGGCTCCTCAATCATGGGTTTCCGAATAACTTCATGTTCTCCAACTAGTTTTGCAATCATAAAGTATGCAACAGATGCTAGGCATCAAATGAGAGGTATCATTTTTCTATGGCTAAGTGTGAGATGCCATATTGCTGGCAGGAATTAAATATGCATGTGTGTGCTGGCGAATACATGTGTGTGTGTGTGTGCGTGCATGTGTGTGTATACTTTGACAGGATTCAATACTTCGATGTTTGATGCTTCTTAGCATGAAACAAAACATCAATGAGAAGAATATTTTCACCTATTTTAACTTTACCAACTGCATGGGGTGTACTCCATACAACAGAAGGAAAGGAAACGAGAGAACGTTATTTTAACTGGGCTTATTGGGAATTAAAATTTAGACAAAACAATTTCAACAAAGTAATTAAGACTAAGCAGCAGGCAGGCAACTTGAAAAACATGGTATAGGGTCTGGTAATCAAAAGTGCGTATAACATGCTCCCACAAGCATACTATAAAACAACTCCCTTCGGCAAAAGAGTAAATCAGGAGGATTTTTTTATCGGAAATTTGGGATCAATCTAAGCATCAACAGATGATTATTTTTAAGAAAAAAAATTTGGATTTCAAAGTCTTGAACACCTAGATCTTAGGATATTAATATTTTTGAGGCACATAGAGAATCCTATGTAATTCTTTTTCTCTTTGAGAATGGTTGTTAGGTTCTAGAGGCCATAACCCCACAAATTGGGGTCCAAAAAGTATTCCTAAGATGAGTTTTACGTCGAGGGATCAAATGCACAGTATGCCCCCGTAGGAGAAGCAAATCTTTTCACAGTAATCAAAATATTGGGGCAGCAGTGCAAGTTGAGGTGAAGGTCAAGGAAAAGTGTAACTGTGTGGGACTTATTTATGGGCTTTTCCTTGGCTTTGTTTGTCACTTGATTATTTTGTCAGTCAATTTGAGACTTTCAGTTCCCACCATCTTTACAATAACATTTTTAAATTTATCTAAAAACAAAAAGAGCAAAGAAATCCCACAAAAGAAACTAAAAAGAGGAGAGGAAAACAGCATCACATGAAACTGAACAAGAGAAAGACAGAGGGCCACAGCAACCATGTGTTGTACTAGGCAAGGTCAGAAATCAATCTACTTCTTATGTTGTTACTTTCCATGGTTATCTATTCGAGCATCAGATTGTTCCCAAAAATAAAATCTAAAACCTAAGCACTAGTAACAGATGATTGTGCAAGCTGAAAAAGGAACACTGTATAGATCATCTAAATGCCACAAGACAAGAATGCACAACAGTCATTTCATAGCTAAAAAGGACTACTAGTTTACAGACTTGGGAATGGTAAGCAGCAAGTTCTCACGAGATCAGATCTGTTGCATAAGGGAAACCCAATTCCAAATGGGGATGCAGCAAGAGTTATGGCAACGATTGAAGAGTTTTCTTTATAAGGACATGATCCAGAATAACAAAGGTATGGAGATAGAATAAACTTTATCTCTCCCTAATCTCTTAAAAACAAGTTTAACATATCCTAACCAACCCAACCATGTTAATCCCTATCTATATCCATCTTAAAAAAAAAAAAAAACTAAATTTTCAATCTACTCCTTGAATCTCTACAACCAGCATTCTCCTGGGGTTGGGAGAAGCTCGACCTCGAGCTTATGGAATTCGAAAATTTTCCTTCATTATCTTCTCCACTTTGTTCCAACTGGGAATTTTCACCCTTTTCTTGGCAAACTTTTGATTGCTAATCCTAATCGAGAAATGTCGTGATATGCTTAAAAAATCAATTGTGATGCCAAAACCTCTTGCACCTTCCACCACTTGTATTTTATGACTCTCAATCAACTCAACTTTCAAAGCAAGTAGTGATGTGTGATTAATGCTTAGATTGGTGGTTGATTCTGATCTCTTTTCTCTTCGTATTCTTGTTCCTCCTCCTGTAATCTACTAAATAGATAGTGCAGACTTTGTTGTAATACTTTGCCAATACATTTATCAGGTCTTCTTTTAGTCTCTCAAATTCCTTATCTAATCGTTCAAATATTTGATCTATACGCTTCGTAACTAGATCAACAGCTGTTTATGATCAGCATGGATCTCAAGACTCTGATACTAATTGATGCAGGTAAAAATAATAAACTAAAAAAATAAAAATGAAAATAAAGATTGAGAGATTATACCCTCTCCCTGGATTTGCAAGGGAGCCCATTCCAAGATCTTTTCACAAGATCAAACTCTTTCTTTATTCAAAGAATCACTCTCTCTACAAAGAAGGGACCTCTTCCCTTTAAATACAAATTTATAAGGAATAATAAATAAAAATAACAAACTAAACTCTGTTTCTAACTTATCTCTTAAAAACAAGTCTAACATATTCTAACGAACCCAACCATGCTAATCCCTATCCATATCCATCTTAAAATAAATAAATAAAAAAAAGCCTAAATTTTCAGTTCTACCCCTTAAATCTCTACAACTAAAAAAGACAAGAATAATCCTAAAGAAAACTAAAATCCAAATAACATCTTTTTAAGTCCTAAAAAATATAAAAATATAAAATTTTAAAAAATTATTTTTTTATTTGCATCAGAGACTGATCAACCTCTTCACCAAATCCTTGGGAAAACAATATGGATATTCCTTGGAGAACAATCCTGATGTGAATAACATAATTGTATTACATAGACAAGAAACATATGAAGGGTATGAACATTCTTGTGTTCACATTGAGTATCTATGATAGGGATGAACATGTGATAGTAAAGACTTAATGATGAATTCTATGCCCAAAATGTGGCCATAGAATTTCCACTCTTAGTGAAGATATTTTTGAGACAGAAATTTGGACGGCATTGTTACTGGTTTATGGATATTAACTCGTACATCTAGTTCTTTATCCATCCCAAAATAGTATTAACTACATATACCAGCCTCGGTTAGGGGAATAAATGATCACGTAAACCAGAAAACCATCTCTCTTTTTTTCTTTTCCTAAAGAGAAGATTCCCTCCTCAACACCTAAATATTACAAATCGGACAAGTTTTGATCAGATAATCTGGCAATGTCACCTAAGGTTTGCATGCTGAGACATTGACGAGCTCTTCCATCCATACTAAGATCTGCAAGATGAGCCATTGAAAAGCCTGCAATTTCTTCACAATGTTAGTCATTCACTTCTAGTTCTAGAGTTCGGGTGCAGTGTAGGAGCCCATTCCCATGCCTCATGACCTCGACTCACTCTTTGAAGATCCTTATGTCCATGAGATGGAATGCAGCCACCATGTCAGGATTCCCTGTTTCACATTGTCAGTCATTTCACATAGTCAGTCATGTCATGTGGCATTGCATATACAAGGATTTGCTCCATTACATGTCCTTACATTTGGTAGGTTACATACTCGACAAGACGACAAGATAATTGGTACTAAATATTGCCATATTAGAGTGTTGAAGAACCCTAACATATGCTTCAAGTGTTAGGAAACAGAAGTGACTGAGAATCACAATTATCTATATTGCCTCTATGCATGTATGATATAGGGATTCTTCCAGAATTTGATTGAAGTTTCATGAGTAATTCGTGGACCCATGGAGGGTCTCACAATTCATGGGTCAGAGAGGCTGTGCCTCATGAAAATTTTTCCCTCAAGAAAAAAGACCATAGAATCTTCAAGGTTTCCTATAGGGATTACTTGAAACTCTAGGGACACATTGAGGACTTCGTATTCTTTTGGGTCCTTAGCTTCAAAAAGTTCTTTAATTTCATCTTAGTGGATGAGGCTTGTACATGGACAGTGATTGCTTAAAGATATTTAGGTAGGATAGGTGCAAGGTTCTGAAGACCTCTCTCTTTCTTTCTTTCTTTCTTAATACGATTGAAACACCTCATGGCATTTGTCATTTCTAAGGAGGTGGACGCTAAAGCTCTTCTGAAATATCTATGGGTTTTCCCCCACTTCTTTAAGGGGAGCCCTAATCGCGGACAGGGGACTCACTTGATTCTTCTAAACATAAAGCTTGAAATTTCTATGAGATGTTTAAACTCCTCTCCAGTTTTATGTTAGTTTATCCTAGAATATCCTGTTATACTGATGAATTTTCATAGATATTGTCATTAACCCAAAATCATAATCTCACATTTTCAAGCATTGGTCAACACCATTAAATGAAAGAAAAAAGAAAAATGTTGGCCGTACTAAATTTCCACAAGTAGTGATTCCTCAATAACTTCATAAAATCATAAGTTTGATCTCAAAGTGTCCACCTTCATAACAACATGCACTCCCATTATCTAATGTTAGAGGTATCAACGATCTTGAGACTAGAGAATTTCTTTTTTCTTCTTTTTTGTGATCGTTTTTTAGACAAGAGTGTCAAACATGAGATTAAATGAATAAACATATGATTCACACACACGAATAAGACAACCAATATGAAGATAAGAACTGCTAATGTTATACTGAAGAAATCAAATGAGGAAGAGCCCAGAACACTTTCTTGTCGAAACAAGATATCAATATCAACAATCTCAAGACTAGAAGAATGTCTTTTTTTGTGATCGTTTTTGAGACAAGAAGAGTCAAACATGAGAAAAACATAACATGAGATTAAATGAATAAGAATATGATTCACATATGCGAATAAGACAACCAATAGGAAAATGATAACTGCTGATGTTATACTGGAGAAATCAAATAAGGAAGAGCCCAGAAGACTTTTTCGTCGAAACAAGATACCAATAGTAATAAGACATACAAGGCACAGAACTAGTTCATGATAATCCTAAGGGGGAAATAGATGGACTTAAGAAAGTCTCCTTAAGGATACAACACTGATTACCGAGACACATTTGTACATGATTGAGAGACAGATATTCATGTTT